GAGTAGTACACCGGCGGCGGCGGTGATTTATATTTAGGAGGTGGTGGAGGAGGGGAAGAGTAACCGTAGCCTCCCGCGGTGGCCGACGGCAAGCTTAGAGCTGCCACCAAGACTAGAATAAGAAGGGAAGCCATTGAAGACGATCCCATATCTTTGCTTACGATTAGGGTTATTTCTATTGTGCTTTTGAAATGAAGCCTCCTTTGGCCTTTATATAGCTGCAAAATTCTTGCCCCTTCAACGCAAACCGAGTCATAGTAAATTGTAAATTAATTAATAAAATTAATATTACCAAACCAATCTTGGAATTGGTAAATCTTAAAAAAAAAGAAAAAAAAAACTTGGAATTGGTAAAATAATGTCAATAAGACAATAGAGAAAAAACAAGAGTTTTGTATTTATTCAATCATATAATATATAGTATTGTCTTTATATAATATTACATGATATTAATTCAACAATGTAACAGTTCTCTACAAAATGGACATTCTTCCAGAGAATATTCAATAGGAAAAAAAGTTGTTAGGTTTATCTTAGTTTATATATAGTTGACCCAATTATAATTTGATGTGATATTGCAATTTTTTTTTTCAAATATTTACATTTTTTTTAGTGTGTTTGAGTTTCACTTTAATTTTAATGATATGTTATTTTTATAAATTTTTAAATATTTTCTTATATTTGAAAATACATATGTAATTTTCTCTTTTTAATCAATCACTAAATTTTAGATTAATTCCTCTAATTATTATTTTTCTTTATAGAAGTAAAATCAATTAGAGTTGATTTAAATTTTCTCACTATCAATCATCTTTTGTCAAAAATAAATAAATCTATTAATTAGAGTTTATTAAAGGGATTATGACTTAAAAAATTGTGCTTCTTTTTAAAAGTCAAGCTTATGTAGTCCCACTTCTGTTTGTTTTAGTTTATTTTCCTAACGAATTTGAAATCATAGCTAAATTTTGGAAATTGTGGGTTTTTTTAATGCATTTTCCAACCTTTATTGTTTTTAGACTAATATTTTTAAAGTGCTTTCCATTGTTTTTAAATTTAAAAACTAATAGAAAAGTTATCAAACTGTTTGTTTTTATTTATTTCTTCAACATATTGATTTTGAGTATTTAGATAAAATTATGCTTGAAATAATAATTAATTATCATAAATGAACAACGTAAGATATTGTCTCTGTCTTTTTGCCCCTTTTTTTATCTTTTTTTTTTTTAAAAAAATTATTATTCTTCCAGACAAGTTTTCCAATATCAAAAAACCGTTTTTTATTCCAAAAGAAAAAAAACTATTTTTGAAATTGATTTCCAAGCAAATGCTACAGCTTTATTAGTAAACAACTTTTTTATAAAGGATAAATATATTAAATTTATTAATATGCTTAAATTTCCATTTTTATAAAGCATTTATATCTTTGCCCATAAAAGCAAAAAATAAACTCAAGATGCATTTCCATTTACCTAGCTCAGAGTTCAGCGTACAGCCGGTCATTGACATACATCTCAAATCAAGAGGTTGCATATCTATTTTATAAACTTTTGTTAGGTTTCTTATTTCTTGGAAGGTGAGATAACAATCAAACTAACATTTTCCATTTTTTCGAAAATAATTTTTTCTACATCTAAAACCTACCAAAGAAAACTCAGATTAATTTAAAATTCATAAAATTATCTTCAATATCATTAATTGATTCTACATGGTTCTTGGTGTGTAATATGGGAAAATTAAAGGCGGCTTATTGACTTTGTAAACCCAAAAAAGGCTTTTATTTCCTTGTTTTCTGTTCCAAAAAATGCTTATAAGTCATGCATTATTAGTTGTTTTTATTCAATAAAATATAGCAATATTTTTGGACTTTAATTTGTGTAAGAATTGACTATATTGTAATTTAACAAATGCATGGCTAGCCATGCATACAAAGTCTATGATGTTGAAATTGATTTGTTAAGGTTAGAAATAAATATTCACACTACCATAATTTTTATTTATTTATTTTTATTAATATAGCCATTTAAATATTCACGTTTTAATAAGTTTTGATCGAGAAGTGTGAGTTTTTTATTTTTTAGTTCAACAATTTTGGGGTGAGAATCGAAATATCGACTTTTGAAATGATAATAGGTGTATATGAACTAATCGTACAAAGTTCATGAAAAAATAATATATATAATCTTACAAAAGTTCATATATATAATCTTACAAAAGTTCATATACAAGTACCTGACGTTACTATATTTGATTGTCAAGAAATACATAGAAAAAAGTAATTTCTAAGTAGATGGTTATTATGAGATTTGAACTCATTTTTCTCTAAATTCTTTTTATTTACCTTGACTCATTTGGACCAATGAGTTAGCTCATGATAGTTAATAATAATAATAATAATAATATTTTTTATTTTATTTTCTAGAATTGATATCGTGGGGCTAAACTTGAGACCTCACCTCAAGGCCGCAAGTGTTTGCCACTATACGATCGCCTCGGACATAATAACAATAATATCACTAAAATATATTGTTATATAATTTCAGTATCAAAATTATTTTTATGCAATTAACTTTTATTGTTTTAATTCAACCTAGATTTGGACTTTAGAGAAGTCGTTATTCATACTTTAGATTGTTGAGTTATGTTCGAGTTCGCTATCTTATTATAAATATTTGTTTATAATTTAATAATAAATACTATTATGAGTTAACACAAAGTATTTAATCTTGTTCTCGACATCAAGCATAGCTTAGAATCTAAAATTGTATTTACAATTTGATCCCAAAAGTTTACCTTATTTCTATTGTTGGGACAAAATTATGACCTACATGTGGTGTATGACCGAGCTTATAACCTTATCTACGGCCGAGCTCTTAAGCTCATCTACGAAAGAGCTCCTAAGCTCATATATCGCCGAACTCATAAGTTCACATCTATGGTCGAGTTCTTAAGTTCATCTACGGAAGAGCTCCTAAGCTCATCTACAAAAGAGTTCTTAAGCTCATCTATCGCCATGCTTATAAGCTCATCTATAGCCGAGCTAGAGCTCATATAAGCTCATCTACGGAAGAGCTCCTAAGTTCATCTACGGAAGGACTCCTAAGCTCATCTACCGTTGAGCTCCTAAATTCATCTACCACCGAGCTCCTATCAGCTCCTAAGCTCATTTACGTAAGAGCTCCTAACCTTATCTACGAGTTTTTAAGTTTAGCTCATCTATAGAAGAGCTCCTAAGTTCATCTACCACGGAGCTTTTAAGCTCATCGATGGCAAAGCTATTCAGCTCGTCTCTAGAAGAGCTCCTAAGCTCTTCTACCATCAAGCTCCTAAGCTCATCTATTGTCGAGCTCCTAAGCTCATCTAAAGAAGAACTCCTAAGCTTATCCAAGGAAGAGCTTCTGAGCTCCTCTACCGTCGAGCTCTTAAGCTCATCTACCACCGAGCTCCTCAAGGACAAAATCTAACGTCATGCGGTTCCGTCAACAGTACAAAGTAGCTCATCCACCCGATTGTCCCTCTCAAGCTCGCTAAACTTTAGTTCACTAAAGAGACATTCCCTATTCGACTCACTCCGCAACAGCTCGCTAGGGCCCAACACAGGTCGCTCCATTGACAGTTAGGCAAATTTTTGCATCAATAGTTGACATCGTGTATGGGAAACGATATCTTAAGTCATTCTTACCAAATCAAGATATGATTCGCACATCTTCTCAAAGCTGTAACACTCGACAATCGGGTGGATTTGCAAAGCTCTTCAAGATCTTCTGCTACCACAAGATCTTCCCTGGAGGACAATCTTATCATCCTTATCATCGAAGATGACCTTCCCCAAAAGAAAGACCTCATAATCGAGAATGACTTTCCCCTTGACGACGACTTTCTCTCAAGGAAGATCTACTCTAAGAGGAAGACCTCATAATCGAGGATGACCTTCCCTTCGACGACGACTTTCTCTCTAGATTACTTTAAAGGCAGTGAGTTCATTTACGGTAAAATGATTGTTTTTCTCTAAATCATCATTCTGTTCTTACAAAAGCAACAAAATTTTTAAGACCCTGTTTACCTACTAGGAATCAGAATGACAATGAATCGAAATGAAAATCAATTTGAATTAAATTAATCAGAATACTACTGTTATTCCTTTGATGCAATTTACTAGAAGTTTTCTGAAATCGAAATCAGAAATCATTTGATGTTGTTTACTAAAATTATATGGAATGAGATATATATAAATTACTAACATATCGTTTTGTTTCTTTCTAGCTAATTACAAATACACTAATGTGCTAATTTTTTTAATTACAATAATAATGATAAATTTTTAATTTATTTCATCACTAATATAGTGACAGTAAATATTTTTTTGTTATAACAATTTATTTAATATCAATAAATAATGAAAATTAAAATAAAATTACATCAACTAAAATACATTTTTATTGGAACAATCACCCTTTAATGTAAAATATTATTAAATTTTATTTTTCAAATATTTGATAATAATGAATTCTACTTTAAAAATCTATTTATATAATAAAATCACATAGACTATCAATTTTGATTTAGAAGGAAATTGATTAATAGTATAAATGAAAAAAATAATAAAATAATAAAATATTTAATTAAAAAAGTTACGAATCTTGTTAATAGATAGAACAGAAATAATTTTTTTTTGAGTAAATTGCACAAACCGTCCCTTTAAGTATAATAGTTGTTGCAATTATACCCAGAAACTTCTAATCATAAAAATTAAACCCTAAAACTTTAAGTATTGTTTGAATTAAAACTCCCCTGTTAGTTAGAAATCTCCAACTCTGATTTGAAGAGTAGCGTCGGATCTTTTCTTGAAAATTTGCCGAAGGAGAAGAACACCCAGTGAGGAAAACCTGATCTGTAATGTTTGATTGGTGGCACAATTTCATCTTCATTAAAACCCTCCCATTTTTAACTTTCTCTGGTTATTCATCCACACAGCCTTTGGGTGGGTTCATCCATGCAGCTTAGTCTCAATTTCGCCCAATTTTTAAAGAAAATTTTGCAACAACTATTATACTTTAGGGGTGGTTTTTGCAATTTATTATTATTTTTTTAAGGATATAATAGAAATGGTTAAAATATAGTAAAATAACCATAATAAATATGTGGGGTACACATAAATAAAATTAAAAAAATAAAA